TCTGATTTGTATGTACTGATATTTTGTCCGCGTGACGCTCGTCATGAAATGTGATGGTCATAATACTCATGACGGTTGTAAGGGTCATGTGACGACCGTCATATCAGCAAAATCCGTATCTGCTGTTTTCCATTTGTTTTCCTTCCATTTCTTCTTCTTTTCTTTCTTTAGTCCAAATTCTCCCCAATCTGCTAAACGAAGTAAATTAATCATATAACAGAACATAAATCAAGATAAATTAATCATAGTCACAAATAAATGCATGTAAATCAAGCCAAATAAACGATATGATTTCGCGTTATTAATATGTCACAACGGTTCAGCTACGCAACTGTGGTGGTATCACATTTATTTAAAATTTTTAAAATAAAATGATAAATATGTCACATCGGATGTTTAAATTAAAAATAAATAAAAATACAAAAGCATGACTAAATGTTAAAGAAATAAAACATTTGAGGATGATGAGATTCAAACTCATGAAAGGGTAACTATAGAACTACGATTGTATCTTTCCTCCGCAAGTATATTATATCAAAATTTTTATAAGTAAATAAAATAAAATGTTTGCACGTTAAGTAATAGATGTCATCACGGTCCTTCGTACCACCGCGATAACTTTTGCGTTATTGTATATACATTTTGTAGTAGTGAATAAAGTAATGAAGTATACATTCACTCACAGATAAGTAGGGAGAGTACAAAATAAGCCGATTTAGAGCAGATCTAGAATTTCATGCTCTCTTGGTGAAAAGCTCATGTTCAGAGAAATGAATGATGCTGAAATAATATTTGTGTTTCTCATAACTATCTCAATCACAAGTAAATCCTTGACGTATTCGTTCACCTTCAGAAGGAACATCCAAGCACTTCTCAAACTCCTCAATTGTCAACAAAATTTCTTTGCCCTTGACAGTTAAGGACACAATACATCCATGGTTAATTGAAAGGTTTGAGTAAAAGATTCTGACCAAATAAGAGTAAATGGGTCCAAAATAAGCTATTACTACTCCTAAACCTTGATAATAAAAAAATGCAAGAAAATCAAAGCTTGTAGGAGGAAAATAAAATAAGTTACCATACTTGGGTGGAGTGAGAGACCTATTTCGGAACCCTTGCAATAACCTATTCTCTTTGGAGGTTTGCACCAACCTTTCAAGGTCCAGTAGATAAAGTCTTTTGGATGGAACTCAGATAAATCAACTATAGCTTTGCCCTTGTCTTTTCTTGAAGGAGCCATGGATGAAAAGCTTAATAGGGTATGAAAAGCTTTAAAGGGGACAAAAATTAGGATTGATGGTGAGATTAAGTGATTTGTAGGGAGTTTAAGTGTTTATGGGAGTTGTGGGTATTGTGTGAGAAATGTGGGTTTTAATAGATAGATTTGATGAAAGGAGAAGTACATTTTTTTGTTGGAAGGTGAATGGGTAATTAAAGATATTATTTTACTATGATAAAATGGGTCGAAGAAGATTGGTTGAGCATTAGAAGCCATTAAAAAGCAATTTTGAAAAGTGATTATTTGACCAGTGTAACCAGTTAACACATAATAGATAGACACAAGTAGTAGGAATTGAACAAGGTTTATTCATCTAAGACTAATTGTACTAATGCTATTGAGATTAGATTTTCTTTCTTGAGTTGGAAGTCACTAGATGTAAGTGATGTTACACTGAACTAGATTAACAATTCTCTTGTGTTCTTTATTGATTTCTGTTTTAATTTCTTAGTATTTGTCAATCTGGTTTAAAGTGTTGTACATGTTGTCTCTGACATCATGTCCAACATTTATTCCTTAGAACAAAATTTCAAATACAACTTTAATAATGGATTGAGCTTCCTTCTAAATTAGCTAGGGATACATTCCTTCTCAACACAATGACAATGACAAAAATGTGTTCTATTTTGAAATTTAGGTGTTCTATTTGGTGACAAATTACACAAGACATCTATATTCTTCATTCTTTTTTGTTATTGTTTAATTGCTTATATGCATATTACACAAGACTATGTAAAATTGAAATTGGTGATGGTGTATTAACATGTATGCTTCTAGACTACCTATTTTATGAGTGAATACTTAACTTCTTTCTTTCTTTCTTATATGCATGGAAAATGTTCTTTGGTTCTATGTATAAGGGGTGTGATGTACGATTTAACAAATGCATTAAATCGCTTCAAGTAATAACATAGTAAGTATCACAAAATATCAAACGCAGAGATTGAAACTTGTAATGAGTTTAATTTTATACTCGTCAAACAAAGATGTTTTGGTTAATTTGTTTGGTTGTTAAATGATGAGAAAATAAATGTTTGTAAAATTAAGTCTTAATTAGTCGGTTGGTCCCTTAACTTAATTAATAGTTACATGTTATCCTTTATTTAACAAATAATACTTTTTATTCCCTAAAATATACTTTTGTTAGTTAAATTAATCAATTTCGTTAACTTTTAACTCTAAAAGTCTAAGGTGTACCAACATTGTTGGTGATCCATCAAAATCCTCATTGATTTTTGTAATATTAACCATTTGATCTTTTTGTGAAAAAGAAAACGGTTAGATTTTGCTTGACTACTGCATCTAATAGTGAACGCTCAATAATTATATTTTCTTCATCTTGTTCCCTAATATTTTTCTTCATATTCATTATCTCTATTAAACCTCCACTATTTTCAATTCAAAACCCATAAATTAAAAAAATATCAATTACTCATTTTAAATTTATAAAAATATACAAATCAAATTAAAAGAAGAGAAAGCCCAGATCCATTGTTTGACTTATCAACCCACATTCACAATATCCAAATTTATTGCTTGACTCATTAACTCAACTAATACAAAACTACTCTACGTTTTTGCTTACAAATGCATTTAACTCAATTGTTTCATTATTTGTATTGTACCATTTGTTGAAGTCTTAAACTATGGCGCCCAAGCCCGATAACTGTATCGCCCAGGCGATGACTCGGAGATCGCCCAGAGGTATCCATGACATATGAGTCAAGAAATAGGAAGTCTTCACTAACTCCTTAAAGATAGGTGGTAAATAACCTTCCCTAATAAGAGGTGAAACAGTTAATACCACTGAGGAGGACTCAAACCTTAGGTTCAAAGAGCCTATATAAATACTCCTTCCCCCAAAGGGAAGGAGAAAATAATTTCTTACACTCCAAAAAAAGTATAATCCTTACTAAAGTCACAACACCACGATATATCATGACCATACATTTGCTCTCTAGCCTCATCAGTCATCAGCAGAACTTATCACCTCACGCGAGCAGGACTCTCAAACTACCTCAAAGCACCACCGTACAAGGTTTCTCACTGTCGTGGACAAACTCTAACCACCATATCATGTCATAAACCTACTAAGGCCTCTGAGTCTTCTTGTCCTCGTAGGTGGAACATGTACACCTGTAATTTTTGACAAGCACATCATTCATTAACCAGTTAGACAAATAGGTGCAAGCATGACCCAATATATCATGTTATGACTAAACCAAGTAGAGTGCGTTTTTTAATCTTTTTATTTTTTTAATCCTTCTGCATTTATTTTGTATTTATGAAAGAATGTTTATTTGTTGCGACAAAAATTTCTAAGATCCAACTAGGTTTTGAAGAATACTAAGACCCACTTGCAAAACATAAAAAAAAATGAATACACGGTCATAATATATTGATTTATGTAAGAAAAAATGGTCATTCCATCCAATATGAAAAAAAAAACCTCAAACAACGTAAAAAAAACTTTGTCGTTTTTCAAAAATATATAATTAAGTATCTTTCCATTAACAAGTTTAGTAAAAAATAAATTTACCCCATCGAAAAACTAAAAGGAAAATCTTATTAAAAAATTTTATTTAAAAAAACCTGGAGTATACAAATAATTTATTTATAAATTTCAAAATACCCATAAATTAAGTTATACCAAATTTTCATTCATTTACTTCGTACTAAATTTTTAAATTAAAAAAAATCTACACATAAAAAATCCATTAAAATCAATGCAAAAATTCATAATCATTGAGAAGAAAGAAAAAGAAAAAAAAGCCATAAACAAAATACTTAGCAAAATCAAATCAAACCTTAAACTTTGAAGTTCTTATCAATTACCACTATTGTAACGACCAACCATTAGATATGTTATTATTGAAACTTAATCTTCACAATGATTTTAGTATTTTTTTCCTCTAAGTTTTGCAGATCTCTTCTATTAATGAAGGTGTGTGAGAGAGAATATTTTTTATTTATTTTCCAAAATCTTATTTTTTTAAATGAGATCAGTTAATTATCAAAAAGGTTAAGAAATTTAATGTTATCTTTTATATCTTAACCAATTGATCGCTCTCTGAGTGATAACTGAATATAATACATTACTAATGAAATAAAAATAAATTAATCATTTTAAATTGATTAACTTAGCTTAATATTATTAATTGTAATATTTAACATTTATTAGCGCAAATATCCAACTAATTTTATTACATAATATTTAAAATGTATTCACGCGTATTTTTAACTACTTTTATTATTAATAATAAAATCGGCCTTATATTTGCGCGTAGTTTTAAGTTTTAACTAATTTTATTTTTAACAATAAAATTATTATATTTGCGCGGATATTTAACTAATTTTACTTACAACAATAAATTTATTGAGATAAAGAAAAAAAAAATCAAAAATTAAAATTGAAAAATAATTTTGATTTTTATAATAAAAAAAAAAGTAAAATAGAGGAGGGTGAGAGAGAATAAGAGGAATAGAAAAAGACTGAACATAAGAGAGGCGGAGACTGAGACTAGACTATGAGACTGGAAGGACCATACGCCGCGCTGTCTGTGTAACCGTTTCTCGCTCCGGTAACTGCTTAGATCTTCTTCTTCGTCGTCTTCTTCATCTTCAATCGTTTCGTATTATCTCTGATTTCACTCCATGTTTTTATTTCTCTTTGGTTTTACGTAGAATTAGAACATCGCTTTGAACTCAGAGAGTTTCTACGATGGAACAGGTTAGTTAAATCCGCTTTTACTTTTAGTTTCTCTTCGTGAATATGAAAATTTGCTCCGATTGTTTTCCGTGATTTCGTGAGTTTTTGCAGTATGAGAAGGTTGAGAAAATAGGAGAAGGTACCTATGGTGTAGTGTACAAGGCTAGGGACCGTGTTACCAATGAGACCATTGCTTTGAAGAAGATTCGGCTCGAACAGGAAGATGAGGGGGTTCCTAGCACTGCGATAAGAGAGATTTCTCTTTTGAAAGAAATGCAGCACCGAAACATTGTTAGGTATTCTGATTAATAATGTGTTGGATGCTGATGTTGTAATGATGCATTAAGCAATGATGTTATGTTTGAAATTAGGATGGTTAGTGTTTAGTGCGAGGTTTAGAGTCTCAGTGCATGTTTCTCTTGTGCTGTTTTTGGTACATTGATGTTACAGCTATAGATCTGCACAGAACACTAGTGTTTGGTGTTTAAGTTATGATAATGTAAGGAAATAAGGGTTTGATTACACTCGTATATGGCCGTGTGATTATTTTGAGATGGCTAAACTAGCGTATGGTGATATCAGTGATAGTTCATGCTTTGGTGAACTGAGTAAGTCTTTGTATTTTCCTGGTTAATCCGATGCTGCATATGAACAATGCTGTCTATCTGTGTGATTATTCTGTCATGGCTAACCTAGTGTATGATGATATCGGTGATAGTTCATGCCTTTACGGATTGAATATGTATTTTGTATATTCCTGGTCAATCCGGTGCTGTGTATGAACAATGCTGTCTATCTGTGTGATTATTCTGGCATGGCTAAACTAGTGTATGATGATGTTGCTGATAGTTTATGCCTTTACGAATTGAATGTGTATTTGTGTTATCCTGGTCACCCAGTGCTGCGTATGTGCACTGCAATACTACCTACATTGTCGTGTGATTCTTGCTCTTCAAGATTCTGTCCCTGTCTTGTGGCCAATGTGATAGTCTAATTTCATTTATACTGTTAAACTTAGGATTGGGTGGCACAGGAAAACCTGTTGACTTAAGTCTTATTGGATATGTTGTTTCAATTAGTTCATAGTTCATACATTGGTGTCCTAATGTTATTCTGCTTCTTTAACTATTTGCTTTTTGAGTTATGGTTGATGGTTATGTGGATGGCAGGTTGCAGGATGTTGTGCATAGTGAGAAGCGATTGTATCTTGTTTTTGAGTACCTTGACTTAGATCTAAAGAAGCATATGGATTCATCTCCGGAATTTTCCAAAGATCAACGACAAGTAAAAGTGTGTTACTCTTCTACTTCTGTTCTCTTTAGAAACTTTGAGCTTTTTTGTGACTACAAAAGTAACTAAGTAGCAAAAAATACAACTCAGCCATTGATTGAATGGTTTTTGTATCCCCATGCCTGTCTCTCTAAAAATTAAATGAATCAAATATGATAGCCAATGGTGATTTATTAACATTTTGGTGGGCAACATAACTATAGCTTGTCAAAATGCAGGTGCATACATATTATGCATGTCTTTTGAATTTTGTGATGTATTGCATGTTGGATTGCTTGTTGATTGGTATGACTTTGTCCATAATAGTTTCCTATTTATGAAGATGAGTGACAGGTTGATTATGTTTGGCCTTTAGTATGTTGATTGGGCCTGCTAAGTGCTTCTGGGCTTGCTTACCGAAAATCAAGTAGGATTATCTGTTCTTTTAATTACTGAAACTGAAGGTGCTTGCTACTCAAATTGAATTCTTTGTTTTTGACAAAAAGTAAACTGGATGTATGAACTAATCATAACTAATGAAGCACGGATATGTCAAAATCTCAGCCGAATCGTATCTGATACGTCGATACACTGCTATACGATGCCTATACGTATCGAAGGAGTATCTGAATTTATTTATTTTAATTAATAAATTAAAAATTCCGATATGGCGGCGATACGGCTCCAATATGATGCGTATACACGACTCTTCATTTTTATCAGTCATTCACTCACTTTTTAGTGGTAGTTCTCTTTAATACCCCATTTAATTGTTTCCTAATACTTGTCTTTTTTTTAAGATTAGTTTTATTCCTATAATTTCTTATCAATTACCGAATATTTGAAATTTAATTCAGATTAATTATTACTTTCTTTTTACGTTTTATTAATACTATTTATATTTTTAAAGGAAAGTTTTAGATTCGTCTGCAAGTTCCTATTTTCATTCTTCAAATCTTTCACATTTTTCAGCAATCTAGTAACGTGTTAAAAGTTATATTACATGTTTGATTTTTGTTAGACTGATTCACCTAGATGTCTAATTTTAATTTTTATATATGTATCTTAAACATATCGTTTCCTATATTATTCAATTATTGACGTATCGCTGTATTGGATATGTATGGTATCCGATACACGTATCATGTCCGTGCTTCGTTGATCATAACATATCTATTTTCTATTTGGTAGCATGTTCCAATATTACCCACATTAGTTACAAGTTGATTAGAAGGAACTCTAGTCTTCTTTGCTGGTGCAAAGCGTCACATGACTGTAAAAATGATGTATTAGTTTGCATCTTTTGTCCTTCATTAGATTTAAGCCCCCCTTTTTATTGCATGCCTCAACTTTGAAATGAATTATCTGCGCTTGAGCATATCTGTATTAGTTTCCCTTCCCATTTAACTGTGCAGTTTTTATCACCATTAAATACTTCTACCTTATCACACATCATTAATATGACACATCATTAATATGAATGTATTTTATCTCGTATTGGAAAAGAGACGATCTAATAATAGTGGCAAAGTGGACCAATTACTTTGGAATTTGAATTGTTTAATGATGCTTTCTGCAGATGTTCCTCTATCAAATTCTCTGTGGCATTGCTTACTGTCATTCTCATAGAGTTCTTCACAGAGACCTGAAACCACAAAATCTGTTGATAGATCGCAGCTCTAATGCGCTAAAGCTTGCAGATTTTGGATTGGCTAGAGCATTTGGAATTCCTGTTAGGACATTTACACATGAGGTTTGTGTGCTGCTACCTTATGTTGGCTTTTGGAAATTGATCATCTATGGAGATATTAAAAAATTGAAATTAATGGGCTGATGCACAAGAAAATAATTAAGTACGCATGCTGAACTTTAATGTTTGAATAATTTTGAATGCGAACTGTAAGGTTGAGTTAGACCCAACTCAAATACTAAGATGGTATTAGAGCATGAGGGTGTGTGTTGAAATTTCCGCTTTCGTTGTGGTCTGTCCTTAGTCGCCTAAATTGCGGCATTTAGCTTGTCTTTTTTGCAGGCTCCAAAACCTTCATTGTGGGTCTGAAGGGATGGATTTAGTCCCACATTGCTCTTAGAAAAAAGACATGTGATAGTTTATAAGTGGAGACAATCATCACCTTACAAGTTCAGTTTTGTGGGGATGAGTTAGGCCCAACCTAAATTCTAAGATGGTATAAGAGCCTATCCTAGATCATTTGTTCGGCTTCCTGCATCCCCCTAGTTGCCTAAATTGCGGCACTTGGCTTGCCTTCATTGCAGCCTCCAACCTTCATTGTGTTGGGTTTGAAGGGGGTGAATTTAGTCTCACATTGCTTAGAGATACGACATGTGTTGTGTTTATTAGTGGGGGCAATCTTCACCTTACAACCCGGTTTTATAAGGTTGAGTTAGGCCCAACCAAATTCTAAGATTTTATAATGCTAAAGCAATGCAATAAATCTTGTCAGTTTATCATTTCTTCTCCCTGACTATAATTTGTTAACTGTTGGACCCTCGGGGTGAATTTAGTCTCACATTGCTTAGAGATATGACATGTGTTGTGTTTATTAGTGGGGGCAATCCTCACCTTACAAACTGGTTTTATAAGGTTGAGTTAGGCCCAACCAAATTCTAAGATTTTATAATGCTAAAGCAATGCAATAAATCTTGTCAGTTTATCATTTCTTCTCCCTGACTATAATTTGTTAACTGTTGGACCCTCCTCGGTATCTTATTATTAAATTGATGAAAAACTGATGAAAACTCGTGTAGGATTGTTTGATCAATTGAGAAGATAATTGTGGCTATAGTAGGCCACTGGCTAGTGAGAAACGTCTATCAAATGAGAGATAGTTTGATTAAAAGTGGTAAAGGGAGACCTATGTAGTTAGCAGAGAGCAGTGTAGACCTTTCTCTAGATGATTTTGCTATAATGGCCACTGACAGAACCCTATGCCATTTATTGGCCCATTTTGTCAACTCATCTACTGGGAGAAGGCTAGATGGTTGCTGTTATTTATGTATTATTTGTCTTTCGCCCTAATGAATTGCTAATTTTAACATTTCTTTACCAAGATAATGAATTTAACTCCCAAATTAACTTCAGGAAATCATCTTATGGGATCTGTGAAATAATATAGTCTGTTTTATGTTATCCATCTAACTAATTTTGAGATTATTGCCATTCTTATAAATTTACAAGTTTAAATACATGGAGTACACAAGTTAGTGAGTTCTACAAGTAAACATGGGAAGCAAGAATCCCTTGTCAGTCCTTCTTTTTGTCTTTTGCTATGTGTGTACCAGGCAAGGTAGTCTATATTTCTTTCAAACACAGATGCTTGAAGTTATCTAATTAAAAGATTTATAGAAGTAGATTCTATAAGAACATAAAAATCTTTTGAAACGGTATAATGGTAGATGGGATTTTATAACTTGATATTGATTCCTATTTTTACATTGTGGTTTTGGTGATTTTTTTAGGTGGTGACACTATGGTACAGAGCTCCAGAAATATTGCTTGGGTCCCGTCACTATTCTACCCCGGTTGATGTTTGGTCAGTGGGATGCATATTTGCAGAGATGATAAACCAGCGACCACTTTTCCCTGGGGATTCTGAGATTGATGAACTGTTTAAAATATTCAGGTATGTAGCTTTTTTGCCATAAGTTTTATAGTTAATTAGATATCATAGAAAATTTTGTTAGATACAAATTGGACAAAGAATGCCTCCTAAATCTATTAAAAGTCTCTACACTTAAATTGGAATTATGGCTCAGATGTGTACTGGGATTTTCCAACTGTCGATTAATATTAATGATTGTTAGGTTACAAACTTTTCCAGGTTTTAATAGTTTAGAATAGTCTTGATAGGGATTCTGATGGAAGGACCTGAATACTGTATGTATTACTTTGATAGATGAATGCAAATAATAAGTGGTATGAACTCTCCTATGCATGTACTTTACATTGACATTTCTCATAGATTTAAGACCATTTGCATTTGGTTGGTAGTTATGTGGATAAAATTGGAGTTTGGGCTATGTTTTGTAATCTAGTTTTGGGCTTTATGACAAAAAATGGGCGAACCAAACAGACCCTTTTAGAGATTTGCAACATATTTTACTAGAATTTTTTGTTAGTGTTTTGTGATCAAAGTGTATACTCTGTCGTTTCAAAATATAGTGCAGGGACCATTGTACCGCCGGTATTGTAATCTAATATAATGCAGCCAATATATTTTTCCTTTCAAACAAGCATGTAACAAACAAATAAACAGTACATAATGTCTACTTATAATTTTATACATTGTTCCTTATATGAAGAATAACGGGTACACCAAATGAAGATACATGGCCTGGAGTGACTTCATTGCCTGATTTTAAATCAGCCTTTCCCAAGTGGCCATCTAAGGTAATTAAATGTATCTTTAACTCACGTTAAATAATGCTAGGGTTCCATTGCCATGTTTAACTTTATTTTGTATTTTGTAGGACCTGGCAACTCTAGTCCCGAGTCTTGAGCCATCTGGTCTTGATCTGTTATCTGTAAGTGACAGCATTAAATTTGATACTTTTTAGATGGTAATGTTTCTCATAATGTTGTAGATGAACACTACCTTTATTTGGCAAAACAATGTCCAATTGTAGCTGATTTCTCACTATTCAGACTTGCATGTTTTATTCCCTCCCTAAGATGTTTTCATTGATTTTAACTGGTTCTTACACTAGTATATGGATGTGCTGTATGATGTATTCCAGAGTATGCTTCGCTTGGATCCCAGCAGAAGAATTACTGCCAGGGGAGCTCTTGACCACGAATACTTCAAAGACATTAAATTTGTCCCCTGAATTCCTGGCGTCACTGAAGAGGTGTCTATATTATGTGTAGCAGTTATGGGTTTTTGGCTCAGAAATGTGTGCTATCCTTGCTACTATTTTCTTCAATGCTTTGGACTGAGTAATATTTTATTTATTGGTTCTTACAGATATTTTTTTATATTCAGCTTGAGTGTGATTATTCTCTATTATTCTTTTTGTTGTCTTAGTCTCAATACAATGCAACCAGCAAATTCCTGTTTGCTTTTGATGTACAATATTAATAGACATTGCTGAATGGTGGTTGTAGAACAAATGGTTACTCCTACTGGCATGGAGCATGTAAATTTGACATACCTTATACGTTCTTATCAGTTTCTTTTATCTGCAGATTCAAATGGGTATTAGATTATAAATAATATGCATAAACTGTACGACTGATGTATCAGAAAGTATTTTTTATTATATGATAAAATAAAATTGTTGCATTGTTGCAAATAATTGCATCACCGTTTTAAAATGGTCACTACCTTGGTAGGAATGTCAACATACATTCGATCGGAGGGATCCCCCTCAAGGATTGCCCCATTTTGGGCTTCCAAATGGTGAATTTTCTTTTGCAGGGACAGAGATAGCGAACAAAGTTCTCTCCAAGATGCTTTAAGGACACGGACAACAAACATTCAAAGAAATCTCTCCAGCTTGTCTAAAATATCATAATATCTTATTAATATTTCCTTCGGTTTCATATATAAACAAATTTGTTTAAAAAGAAACTGACCTTTTAAGAAAAATATTTAGATGTATTTAAGTTTTTCATCCTTTTTAATTTTACTCCTAGCTTCGGCTTTATATCATTTTAAATTTAAATGTAAGTTTATTTGTCATTTTATATAATTTTTTATATAAAAGAATTAAAATTCATATATCGGGAGAGATCTAAATAATTATTTTAATTTTTTTCTTTGAATTTGTTATATATATATATATATATATATATATATATATATATATATATATATATATATATATGGGGTCAGAACGTGGATGAATCCCGTCCCTGTCCCTTTAATATCCCTACACCGTGGTGGTGATATGGTTTCAAATCACTATATGTTTAGATATGGTTTCAAATCAACTATATGTTTAGATGCTTTGTGCATATTTAGAAATTCCAAAGGTACAAAAACCAAAGTTCTGAATGAATTTTTGCAAACCCCTCTTAAAACAGGTTGAATGAGAAAGCTTGAAGCATAGCCTCCACTTCATCATCTTCTCCATGAAAAGCAGTGGGAGCTTTTCATTAATGCCGGTCATTCAAACTTTGATTCTGCTGAATGAATACCGTAAAAATATATTCCCCACCATTCAACAGATGGGATGGATTGATTCTTAACACCACAAAGTAAGACCTCTAGTAGTTAAATGTTATCCATTCCTGGTATAATGCAAAGAAATTTTAGATATTTCTCTTGAACTTTCAATATTGTTTTGAAAATATTCTGATACGCTTACATCATGTTAACTAATATTTGCTCGATTTAATGAGATCTTTAAATGAGTTCAAGTTTAGTTATCACTTGATCAGTTCAAGTTTAAAAAAACTTATAAATCTCTTTTTAAATGAGTTTTAAAAAAACTTAGAAATCTCTTTAACTTTGCAGTTGTAGTTACAAAATACTTTCATCATACAAATAAATAACTTTTTAACTATTTGTAAGTTTTTATTAAAAGAGTCACGTAGAGGTTGAATTAGACTCAACACATATTCAATAAAAAAATAATCATCATCTGACAAAAAAAATCCTTGCCTTGATTTTTCCCAACAAAAAAAATCTTCATTAATTCTTAAAAATATACTACTCCCTCCTTAAATATAAAAACCTCTCAATTTACAAGATATCAAATCTTTATGCCCTTTGTTTTTATGTATATATTGTGTATTTAAAAATCGACCTAAAAACTCGTTGATATGGTAAGAGTTTCTTTCAGTTTAACAAAAGGTTTTGGATTCGAGCTCAGTTCTAAACATGCAACAATGTCAAATCTCTTGAGGAAAAACTTTGTTGTCTATTGTGGTCCTCCTCAGTTCGAGAGATTAGTCTCTGCAGTTGCGCGCAGAGAATACTCATTTATAACAAATATAAAATCAGAGCCGAAAAAATTAAAGTCTAATAATACTCATTTGTTGTCTATTATGATCCTCCTCCGTTCGAGAGATTAGTCTATGCAGTTGCGCGCAAAGAATACTTTTTATAATAAATATAAAATCAGAGCCGAAAAAATTAAAGTCTAATAATGGTTGCATTATCATGTATGGCAAATAATATCATTAATCAAATTCATAACTTTCCTTACTCTAAAAACCAAACATAGGATAGAACTAGAACTGATAATAGGCTATAAATAATTAACAGACCCTTGTGATTTTACAGCTTCTACCAACACATGCATGAAATATTATGCATAATATATAATAATCAAAGTATATATATATATATATCTTAAACACTCTATGATGAGAAGTAAGAAGAAACTGCAGCAGAATTCCTAGAAGGTATCCCATTTAAAATTGAGTATTGATCAACATAACCACCACCATGACCATACCCTGAATGCACTATACCATGATTCTGATCCACCATCATTGACCCATTTTGTTGACTTTGAACATTCACCTTCTTCCTTTTCTTCTTCTCATAAGCAATCCCTCTAGCTTTAGCTTGAGCATCTCTAACTTCCCTAAGATACAATCTCACTGCACGTGCTCCAAAAGGGTTCATCTCCGACGAACCACCGTTCTCTTCGAAAGCAGCGCGTAACCTACCGATAAGAGCATCAAGACTACCCCAAGCTTGTTTCAAAGGACAAGGACATGGACCTGGTGGATGTGAGTTTCCAAAATAAGCACAGTTTTCAAAGTGAACTTTGGTTTTTCCAAACTGATCCAAGTAACGAAGAAACTCGAGAACGTGTGCACCACTGCAACGCGAGAGTGTTAATGGTGGACGATGGTTTTTTAGGTATTGACCGAAAGTGTTCCAGTCACGTCTCTTTTGTGACTCATACCTGCTTAGTGGTGGAGTGACAGAAACTTGCATTCTTTGTGAAGTTATTAGCTCTTCACTATGGTTGCTGCTGCTCGAGGAGGAGTTTTGGTAGCCGGAGATAGCGGCAGAGGCAGCGGCAGCCACGACAGCTGACATATCAAATTTCTGATGAATGATGGTTTGAACTGCGATGCAACTTACCTTTTAGCCTCTAGTTTTGAGCTAGTATATGTGTGTTATTGAGGTTGATCACAAGATGTTTTTGTATATGTTGAGATAAGTGTTTGTATATGTGTGTATATATAGGTTTTTTTTGTTATTGTGGTTTGAGATATTTGATGTTTAAAAGGTAGTGTTATTCAGGTGTGTTTGGTTGGGATTTGTCTAAAGCTAGCTAGCTGGATGAAAGAAGTTAAAATTCGGTGATTTTGAAAAAAGTGATATGATTTTAGAATTCATGGCATGTGGTCAAAAGGAAAGAGATAGGAGTTTGGTGTGATTTTGGTAACATGGATCATGGGTGGATACATGGATCTAGTAGTGAAGATGATGATAATTGGTTGAAATTTTTGGTCTAGTTAACTAAGGTTATACTCAATCTTATGGATGTGGAGAAGAAAAAAAGGTGAGTCTAATTTGGGAGAGGTGACGAGGAATTTATAAAAGGTAAGCAATAAGAATTAGAGGATTTGAGTGTTGGAATGAGGTATAGGGTATATAGGGGGTAGCAAATTTCCTACTATAGGGAGACAAAAGAGGGGTCCATGCATTAGAGACCAAGTGATGGAAGTTTGAATACCACTTCAATTAATCTATCTCAATCATTGATCACACCCTAGTTAATTGACTTTTAATTTATTTGAAGTTTGTTAATTTCTTTTATGTCTTCTCTATATTATGTTTTGAAGTGGAGAAGAAAAGAAAGGTGGGGGAAGTTGTTTGGCCTACCTCTTTAAGTAAAGTAAGTAGAAATACAATTTATAGCATTAGATTGGACAGAAATTTGTCAATTTGAACTTGATAGGTATATTAACCTAAGATTAAAAGGTTACCCGGGTGCCATGGCAACTGTTTTCTGTCTAGCATGATGGCATGAATTAAGTTCATTCACAAGTCATTTTTTTAAGGGTAATGTTAACTTGTGCCCTTGGGGCACATGTTAAGAACTAAATTAAGAAATATCATTTTGGAAATTGTGTACAAACTTAAATTAAAGTATAAAATTAATATTTAAATTGTTTTTTCCAATACAAATTTACTAAAAGTGGTTTCCTTAACATGTGCCACAAGGGCACAAGTTAACATTACCCTTTTTTTAATCTTAAGACTAAATAACTGAGTGCACTTGGATTGTACTATCCAAACTTCAATCATAGTGTGGGGTGCATAAATGCAGATGCAACATAGACTTAATGCATGTGGTACTAATCATCACAACTCGATGGACACTGGGCCATCAACCCTCCATAGATCCCCATCAATAGGATCAGAGCACGTCAAAATACTTCACATCCACACAGTGAGATTGAAGTCAAAGTAATCGAAGTCCTGAACCGAAGTCCGGATGCACATGAATGCATGATGCACACTTCACAATAATCCTCATAATAATAGCATATGGTGCATCATCATTCATCATATTCATCATCATTACACGTCATATCTCATCGTCATATTCATCATCATAAATCATGTCATCATAGCTCATCGTAACAATCATCATCATACATCATGTTATCATATCTCATCACAGTAATCATCATCATACAACATATCATCATATTTTATTATAATAATCATCATACATCATACTATCATATCTCGTCCCAGTAATCATCATTATACAACATATCACTGTATCTCACATAACTCATAATAATCATCGTCATCACATAAATCATCATATCTCATGTTATCATATAATTCATCATAATAATCATCATCATCACATAAATCATCATAATTCATCAAACATCATATCATCATAATAATTAATCTCACACATCATGTCATCATATAATCACGTACAAATCACATATTAGCTCATAGTCATATTACCACATAGTATCCCATATTAATTCATAATACTATCCCATACTATCTCATATTAATTTATCAAATTATACTCGCGGTAATCCTTACACTATCGCCTATCAATCACATAAACTTCACAGTCCTACTCATGTTAATTAATCATATTATCACAGTTACCCCTATGGTAATTCATCAGGAAAATCGCAGCATCAAAACATCAAGACATCACTGAACCAGAACATGATTCGTTACTGGAACATATACCCAATTGACTTCTCAAACATAATTAGATGTAAAAAATACTGGGAAACCAATTCCCTTATGTATACTATGTTATATCCCTGTTTATTAGCTTTCCAACGCTTCGAACGGGGGTCAAAACGGACTTACGGATCCAAAGTTACGTCCAAAACAATTTCGACCGAAAACATGAACAGTCGTGACGGACAGAAAGACGCTGTTACGCTCCGGAACTGATTTTTACTCAATTATTCTTACGAATCACTCACTAAACGTACCAAAAACATCACTAAAACATTCCTAAGGTTATACGACAATAACAACACAACTTCTATGGTTTATTAGGCTCATCTGACAACATTTGCAACGCCTAAAACACTATTTCCTGCAATTACTCTGAGTACTTCAGAGTTACTCACATTTGAATATTCTTATTCCTATAGGGACAACATGTCACAATTTTTCCTTCAATTACACCCTACGGCATTAAAATTACTTACTATCCAATATTTAATCCCTTCAGGGTCAGACATATAACAATGTCAAGCTTTTGGCCACGAAGGCCTAAGGTTTCCCATAAGGTTTCCCACAATTACATATCAGACAGTCAGAAATATTGACCACTAATCCTACGGGTTTTGCCATAAAGGCCTAAGGTTTTCCACAAATTTTATGTTAATATTCAACGATACATACCATTTGGCCATTTGGCCATCCTCTCAGAATCTTGCGATTACTTCCCTATTTCCCACAATTAATTCCAAATCCCTAAACCTTACATCAACCACAAATATACCGAAAATCATACATAGAAAACTATGAAAAGCAATACTCCCCATACCTTAGCCGATTCACAGCCTTCACGATTACTCCAGGAATCTTCCGAAGCTTTTGCATTCAATTCTCCCTCCTCAGAGCTCTGGCCTCCATTCTTTTCACGGTTAACAAATGAATCCCAATTCCCTTTAGAATTCTATTTTGTTAAATCTCACAATTTGGCCTTTTCCCATAATATCCTCACTAACTCCTCCAATCGCCCAAATTGCCCTTATTTCCCTTTTTTCAATTTAATTAATAATAATACTAATAAATTAATATTATATGCTATTAATTAAATAAATACCCAAAAATGCACATTTTCTTAATAATTCACCAACCACCCGAAAATCACCGAAAACGAATATTCTTAATTAAATAATTAATTAAAATACTCCAATTAAATTTGTGGTGTTACAACTCTCCCCCACTTAAAAGAATTTTCGTCCTCGAAAATTACCTCAAGAAAACAGAGTCGAATACGACTCCCTCATCTGATCTCCAAGTTCCCAAATCCAACTTTCTCTAGTTGGTCCCCCCAAAATTACCTCTTCCAAGGCAATCCCTTTACCTTATAGTTGCTTCTCGTTCATCAATCCGAACAGGCAACACTTCAACAGTTAAGTTACCTCCCACTCGTACATCGTCCATCTGAATCAAAGTACTTCCTCAACTTAGACACATAAATCACATCCAACAATTTTCACAAGCGACAACGGTAAAACAGTCTAACATGCCACTTCTCCCACGCTTCCGCTGCGCCACTCTGATACAGACCACAAAACACGGTGTGAGCTCTCGAGACTCCAAAGCTCGGCCAACACCAGTTACCATCGTAACTCTCAAAACACGTTTTTTCTTAGATCCCCTTGATCTTCTCAGTTGTCTCTTGCACAATCTCAGATCTGAGTACAAGACTCTCACCTAACTCATATCAACACAAAGAAGTCCTACACCTCCCACCATACAAATCCTCATACGGTGTCATTCTGATACTAGAATGATAACTGTAATTGCAGGTAAACTCAACCATCGGCAAATAACTATCCCACGATCCACCTCGATCCAACACACAAGCTCTCAGCAAATCCTCTATAGACTGGAAAGTTCTCTCTGTCTGTCCATCCTCCTGCGGATGATAGGCAGAACTCAATCTCAACATGGTACCCAAAGTGTTGGCAAATTCTCCCAAAACCTCGATGAAGATCTCCGATCTTTACTCGACACAACACTCGACGGTATCTCATACAACCTCACAACTTCCTCAATATACATCATAGTTAGCTTCAACATAGAATGATTACTCCTTATTAGTAAGAGATGAGCTGAGCTAATCAATCCATCCATCATTCCCAAAGCGAATCATATTCATCTCACAGTCTTCGGCAACCCGACACAAAATCCATAGAAATACTATCCCCTTCCATTCAGAAATATTCACAGTTGCATCAGGTCCAACAGTCTCTGATGTTCAAACTTCGACTTTCCACAAGCCTAACCAGCATACACAACTTCAACCACTTCTCTCTCCATCTATGGCCACTAAACAATTTCCTCAAATTCGGTTACATCTTCATAGCACCGGGACGGATACTCAATCCACTTAAATGTCCTTCCTCAAGAATACTCTTATCCCAACTCAACAATATCTGAAACCCAAACTCTATCACGACATCTCCTGATACCATTTTCATCAATCTGCAATTTGACCCTTCGACTTTAATTCATCAAATTCAACCAATTTACTAACTCAAACCAGATTCTTGACCTTCTCGAATCTCATCAAGAATACGACTAGTAGCTCCACCATACTAAGCTTAACTCCATAAGAAGTCTCTTCACAACCCAAGCTCACATCACGAAATTGTCTAATCAGTTCTAACTCTTTTACCATCAATATCAGTATATACAAAGATTTCCAAATCGATGCATCAGCTACCACGTTTGTTTTACCCAAATGGTAATTCAATCCAAAACCATAATCCTTCAGAAGTCCCAATTATTTCCTCTTATATACTTTAAGTTTCCTTAAAGCATAACGAAAACTCGCTGATGTTGCACTTAAC